TGCTCTTTGGATTACACGCTTAGCTGACCTGTCCACATTGAGCCTATGGCAAGTGACCTCGGAGTCAATGCTAGGCATCTCATAGGGCATCCAGGCAAACTCTTCTATGTTTGCTCGCAGGAAAGCCTCTAACTCATTTTTCTCTTTCTTGGCTAAGTCTGAGCCGAGAATGAAGAAGCGTTTTTCATCACCTTCTTTGACCAGAATCTTCTTCAAAGCTTCCTCGCTTTTGTCGACTAGTTCTTTGCTGACATCATCTAGCACCTCCCTACCATCGTCTTCAATTTTTATTGTCTCTACATCTCGCACGTTGCAGGTGGACTTCATTGCTGCCATAGAGCAATTTTTTGCCTGCACCTGATCCCCTCTAACCTCCTCAATCTCTTGTTCGGTTGGGAATTGCAACAGCTGGTGCAGTGTTGAGAGAATAACCTTTATTGCATGCAACCACGGTCTTCCCAAAATAAAATTATAAGGGGAAAGGTATCAATCACTGTAAACTCCGTGCTTACCTTATTGGTGCTTGCTTAAACCTCCAAATTCGTGGCTCTGAAAGGCCACGTTGGCATCTTGTTGAATCTAACCATCGGGCTGTCGAATTGTTCTAGATCATCTGGGTGAAGGCCAAGCTCCTTGTAACATCTAACATACATGATGTCACAAGAACTGCCTTGATCAACCAGTACGCGCCTCACCTGGCATTCTCCAATCTTCAGTGTTATCACTAGGGCATCGTTGTGTGGATGCTGCACTATAGCTAGGTCTGCCTTAGTAAAAAAAACCATTAGTCCTTGGTACTCATTTGTCCCAGGTTTCTTTTACTGGACCTGATACACATGCTGCAGGTGTCTTACTCTCTGGGTCTCCCTTCGTACATCATTCTCTTTGACCTTCGAATGAATCACATTGATCACCCAAGGTCTTTTTGCTTGCTGCCGTAGTGGCGGAAGTGGTGTTGTCGGTGCCTGGGGTAACCTTGCATGCTCTTCCCTCATCCTGGCCTTATCTACTAGGTCTCTTATGTGACCCTATATGACCAAGTCCTCCAAGTATGTCTTCAGAGCTCTGTACCCTTGAATCAAGTGCCCATCCTCATTATGGTAAGCACAGTGCTTCCCAATGCTTATTCCCATAAACTCGCCAAGGATCTTCTCCGGCGCTCTGTAATATGGCTAGTTTCTAATCCTTTCCAAAACTTTGTAGATCGGGATCCTGAACACAGTGGTGACTGTCTGTGCAACCCTCAATCCTGTCTCATGTCTGTTTACACCAGAATTACCTTGGCCTCACTTCGGCGAGCCGTTTCTCTTTTCTTGCTTTGGTGTCTTCGTTTCTTGCGTATCCTCCTCTACTCTGGCATACTTCTCAATCCATGCCATGAGCTCCTCTATACTCTTTGGTAGAGTTTTGCCAATGATTTTTGAAGCGGGCATTCATCAACCAAACTGTTTTTGAATGATACGACCGCCAGCTCCTGGTTACAGGCCAGAATTCGATTGAACTCCTCATAATATCTCTTGGCGTAAGCCCTGAGGCTTTCATCCTTGCTAATGTTCAAAGCCAACAAGGAATCTACCCTTAGTGGCTGCAACTTGTTCGTAACAAACCTGGTTACAAACATCTCGGTCAGGCCTTTTCAACTCTTCACAGTTTTTTTCGGCAACTTGTGAAACCAATCCGATACCATCTCCCCAAAAGATGAGGGGAACACCTTGCACAACAACTACTCAGTCCCACCCCACAAAGCCATCGAATTCAAATATAAACCAACATGAAAGTTCGGATCAAACTTACCGTTATAAATCTGGAACCTCGGCATGTGGAACCTCTTTGGGGCCTCAAACGTATCTAACTTCACTGAGAACGGCATTCTCGGCTTGACGGGGGATGTGATCTTAGCGTTGTGCCGCTTCCTCTGAAGGTAGTCTCTCAAGTCCTCATTCGTTCGACCGGGAGCTCGGCTATCAACAAATTTCAGCCTTTTTGGCGCGTTGCTCCCGGTGTCATTATGCGTCCTCCTGGACTTCTCTTTATTCACTGTATCAAAGCAAAGGCCCTTCCCCTAGATATGTTGCGGTTCTTTGACATAGGTCCCTTTGGTTCGCAGCGTCTTCTGCGATTCACCTGTTACTAACTCTGCTCGCCCGACATCCCGTAACGGCCGATGTAAGCGCTCATTTTCCTTGCCATGCTGCGAGACTACTGGGATTGTTTTTTACCCTTCTTTCTAGGCATCAGTCTTGGCTGCTGGTATGGGCGTGTCCTGCAACGAGAACAGTGGTTGCATCATGTTGTTTTGCATTATGAAGTTGACAACTGACTGTAGGATTTGGATCCTGTGCTTCTTTATTATGGTTTTCCTTCCCGACGTTAGGATCTACTTGTTCACAACTCTAACTATGGACGTCGTCCCCAATCTTTTCTTCCTGCCCGTTGTTGGCTATCTATTCTCCTTAAATTCCCGTAGACGGCGCCAAATTGTGGGTGTTGATTTTCGACTACACAACCAAAAGGGGAACTCAGTTGAAGAGCACCGACAGAATAGATTAAGCCCAACAACCTGCATAAGAAGATGAGAATCCGACGATGGTTCATCCACCCGAGAGCACTCCGACGATCAAGTCAGTAATCTCTCGCAGATATCAAATTAGAGTATAACTCACGAGTCACTGCTCAAAGTATATCACACATACTTGAGACCTACGGGGGTACCCTGCTTTTATAACTGGCAGTGATCTGATCCCTCTAGAAGCCTCACTTCAGTGGACTCAGGCTCAATACTTATCCTAGACCCTCAGCTAGATAGGGATAAACTCTTCTTGTACTTTATCTTTATCTAGACACTCTTGTCCCTTATTTGCTTATCTCAGGTTCCGGTAGCTTCACAGATAACCTCGGCCTAGCTAAGATCATCTTGGCAGCATGATCAAGCCATGTGACACCTCGGCTGACACTTCGACATCACCTTAGCCATATGTTGTTATTCATAAAATACTTTCCCACAGAATAAGTAAAATACTTTTATATTGTTAGAAGTTTTTAGTATGATAAATCATTGTCTAGTGTCTCTGGGATCTCCAAATGTAGATAGCTCTCTTCAGATGAAGTATAGTACCTAATGTATTGCCTAACGTGTTGGAGTTTTGAAATTGTTACTTTGTTATGTAAAATACCTAACTGGCACAACATAAGAGCGACTTAAAATTTCCGTAAGATTAGGAATAACATAAACACATCATTAATATTTATTTATTTATATTTTTTTCGTATACCCTTCCCAATCTTGTGAAAATGGATTTACACCAAAACCAGTCACTTAACATTAAATGCTACCTACAATTTCACGATCAAACAGACGAAACAATAATGCAAGGCATTAAATTTAGGCGTTAAATTTTAAATAGCATAGTGTACTACTAGATTTAAAGGTCACACATTTAACGTCTATTTCAATACAATAAACGAAAGGATCTAAATATATTTGGGACTATTTGGTAGTTATTTATAATTTTTTATTTTATTTATTTATTTTATTTCAAGACCTTTAAGATTCACCCTTACAAGTCAAACTGAAGGATGCTAGCTGATCCAGCTAAACTGTTGGACTTCTACTTGAGTAGTAAGAGATTCGAACTCTGATCAATAAGGAGATGAGCATACACTCTTACTAGGGGTGTGCATAATACCGCCGAAACCGTCGAAACCGCCGAAACCGCACCGAACCGCACCGCCAAGGCAAATTCGTTATTATTTGTCAATCGAACCGCCGGTTTTTGGTAAGAAAAATGGCAAATTCTAGTGACACTTTTATCAATCCGCCGGCCGCCATACGGTTTCTATTTTTCTCTCAAACCGCACCGACCCGCACCGCGCACACCCCTAACTCTTACCAACTAGGATGGTCTCTTGGTGGTATTTGGAGTAACTTATATTTTTAAAGATCAAAAAAATTAATTATCAACTATTAATTTAGAATAAATTACACTCAGCAAACCTTTGCAAATAAACTTTCATCTAATGCCGATACCATTTTTTTTAGATGGGGAGCCGATACCATCTTTAACAAGGTCACTCATGACATGATCCCATCTCCACAGCCTTACTCATTTCCGACTTATCTAAGATAGAATTATTAGTGTAGTGTGATATTAACTTGAAGATGTACAATTTATTATGTTCGTTTGTACATTAATATGATAATATTAGTTTGTTTGTTAGCATTAAATCTACAAAATTATATGAAAGACTTTAATTATAAAAATTAAAAAAAAAAACTAATTTTGTGTATTTGTAAAGTGAAAATAAAATGGCTATTAATCATTTAATCCCATAAAATTAGATTATAAATTTTGATATAGACACTAATCCGATCAATTGGGGGATTAGCAATCCTATCAAATTTTTAATCAAATATTATTTTGTCTACGATTATTTCGAGGATTAGGAATCCCATCAAATATTATTTTGTCCCAATCAAATACGATTATTTGGAGAATTAGGAATCTTTTGAAATTGTTAATAAGGTATTGTTTTATCTCAACTAAACATGCATTAGCAATTTAATCTACTTTTCCAAACAAGTAAATAAATATTGCCAAATATTATATTTAAATCATAAATTTAAGATAGATGAATTCCCTTTTCTCTATGCAATCTACCTCTCTAATTTATCATTTTTCTTTTTCTTTTAAAATTCTTACTCAAATTTATAATTGCTAAGCGTGATCAATGCAACCTAAGCGTGATGTACACATCCGTCAAAGGGGAGTGGTGACCCTGACCCCTCTTTGACACCTAGCTATAAAAGTGACTTGTTTTAAAGTGGATAATGGTGGGACCATTGAGTAGTGTTTGGCTTGGCATTGATAAGGGATTTTCCAGCTCCTATCCAGCGCATTTTACCTCAAAAGAAACGCCTAGAGCATTTTCCTCCCTCTCATTAATCTCTCAAACTTTTCTCTTCACCAACTTTTATCCCTAATATTGTTCACCAATCTCTATATTTTTTCCCTCCTATGTTGGTCTAATTTTGGATTGTTCACCAAATCTTATCACTAATCCTTAGGCATTTTTGGATACTTTAGAATCAAAACAAACTCCAAAATTTGTCCTCATTGTTTGGACCCACAAAACAATTCACGACAGCGGTTTAAACTAGGACACGTGGCACCAACCCAGATCAAGCAACCCTTTTTATTGGTGGCCTATGCAAAAACAAGGAATCAAAATTAAAACTTGATTGGTTGGGAAGGACTTTCTCTGACTTGTGAGGTAGTAAATCAAAAAAAAAAAAATTGTGGGTAATCATTTTCATAGTCTGAAAAAAAAAAAAAAAAAATCAATCAAGAAAGAAAGAAAAAGAAAAGGTGGGTTTTAATTTACCCTTCTATGCATCATCATAGAAGGGTTTGATCAGGGTTTTGTTTCTTTTCGGAGGTCTAGGTTGTTGATGCATAAGAGCCTTCTCTGTTTTTCTAATTTTTCTGAAGAAGGCTCTGCTTGCTCTGAAAAACACATTCATACAAAAAGTTTGAATGCTTTGGGGGGTTTAGAAAATGATCAGATTGTGGATATTTGCTCTGCAATTATCAGAGCTTTTTGTTAGCTCTTTGGTTCATTTGCTATATGGGTTTTACATATTCAGCACAGCTGTAGCTGGTGATCTTTCTCAGGCATTGAATGAATACATTTTCAAACCAAATGTGAATATTGGGATCAAAGAAGAGGTTTCCAAAGGCTCAACCAGCTCTGATGGTCTGCCTCCCATTGTGTTGGTTCATGGAATCTTTGGCTTTGGCAAAGGGGTATGCTATCTATCATCATTTTTTTTTGCAAATTTGGTTTTTGCTTTGTCATTCATTCAAATTGATTTCTGGTGGTTCATTTTTTGAAAACTGGGGTTTGATTTGCAATGTTTTCAGAGATTGGGGGGTTTGTCGTATTTTGCCGGGGCGGAGAAGAAGGACGAGAGGGTTCTCGTGCCTGATTTAGGCTCATTAACTAGCATATATGATAGGTGGGTGATAGAATTTCAAATTCTTATGGTTGAATTTCATCTGATGATCTTTTTTCCCCCAATTTTTCTACTTTTGTATATCTGTTTTCACAATTCTGAAAAGGGTTTTTGGTTTCAGGGCTCGTGAATTGTTCTATTACTTGAAAGGTGGGCAAGTTGATTACAGCGAAGAACACAGCAAGGCTTATGGGCACTCACAGTTTGGAAGAATTTATGAACAAGGTTGGCAGATTAGCCCTAGTTTTATCTCCATTATCTGTATTTTTTTAAAAAAATAATTTTCTTTTTTGGTAAGTAAACAGTAAGTTTTATATCAAAAAAAAAAGAAAAAGAAGATATTACAATGATACTCAAGACATACCCCGAGAGTCAACACATCTTCAAAGAAGCGGCACCCAAGCCTAATGCTCGGATAAAACAACACATGTTGCCTATCACAACCCAAGAGGTTAGGCGAAAACTAACACGCCCTCCGGCAAAACAAATGAAAAATAGCTAAAAACCAGAGAAGTGGGCAAGAAAATAGAAAAATAAAGCAAATCCATCACTGGATTAAGAATTGTAGCCACAAAACCATCAAAGACATCCACAGCAATCTGCTTGTGTTTAAAACAGAATTGATTCTAGAGCAGGTTTATATTTGCTTCTCTGAATTTGATTCGATTGGGATGTAGGGCACTACCCGGAATGGGATGAGGATCACCCTATTCACTTTGTGGGGCATTCGGCTGGAGCACAGGTTGTTCGGGTTTTGCAGCAAATGCTTGCCGATAAGGTATGTTTGATATGATTGAAATTTTTAATTTCCTTGTATATATATTGGTTGGTAATTGGGAAATCATTCCAGGCTTTCAAGGGGCATGAAACTTCAGAGAATTGGGTATTAAGCATAACGTCATTATCCGGAGCTTTCAATGGAACTACAAGAACCTACTTGGATGGAATGCAGTAAGTTTTTCTGACTCAAACAGTATAAATATTTTTTGCATAGTAATGATTGATCAAATTTAAAAGTAGATTGCCGTGACTTTTAGTCTAATCTAAGAAGCATGGATACGAACACGTGACCCAATACAAATACTACACGAACATGCCAACATGTTAATTTTTAAAATATGTTGGACATGACACGTGGGGGATACGCATAAAATATATAATTTTATATATTTATTATATGTTATATATAAGAATCTATTATTCAAAAATAATAAAAAATGCAATATGACACTAATTCTTACAAATTTATATGGTTTATGTTTTATTATTGTATCTTAAATTATTTTGTTCAAACTTATAATTAGTTTCACATATGTCTAATCGATAGACACACGTGTTTAAGAGATTGACATGTGTATCTTTCGAGTGTCCAAAGAGTGTTTGAGTTTTTAAAAAAATAGGACACGTTTTGAAGAGTGTCGGTGTTAAAATCCACCTACTCTCCACCTACTTCATCCACTTAAACCTACTCCACTAAACCTAACCCACTACACCACTACCACCTCACCTACTCCACTAAACCTAACCCACTAAATCCACATACTCTCCACCTACTTCACCCACTTAAACCTACTCCACTAAACCTAACCCACTACACCACTACCACCTCACCTACTCCACTAAACCTAACCCACTACACCACTACCACCTCCACTTCACCTACTCCTTACCTACTACACACTCACCCTCTTCTATATATAGGAATCATGAATCATTGTAATTGATATCAATATATCAATCAATAATAATACATACAATTTATTCTCTCTCTTTCTCTATACATTATTTCTTACAGTCGGACATGTGTCTAAAGAGTGTCGGTATCCGACACGGACACAGCACGAATACGTCACCTTATTAGAAGTGTCCGTGCTTCTTAGAGTCTAATCAATGCAATGCTTAACATGCCAAACAATAGGCTGCAATAACTTGGGATATGGTGTGAATCAAAGTTGTAACATAAAGTATTTTTGGAATTCATTTTTTTAATCTTTTGAGTTTGTTAAATGTGATTACAATTCGTTACAGGCCAGGAGATGGGCGGACCATGAAGCCTATTTGTTTGCTTCAGCTGTGTCGCTTGGGAGTTATAGTCTATGATTGGATAGACTTTCCCTGGCTGAAGGCCTATTACAATTTTGGGTTCGATCACTTCAACATGTCCTGGAAGAAAATGGGCGTTTGGGGTCTCGTTGATTGCCTTATGGGAAATTCAGGTCCGTTTGCTTCAGGAGATTGGATCCTTCCAGATCTTACGATTCAAGGGTCGGTGAGATTGAACAGCCATCTACATACATTCCCCAATACATATTACTTCAGCTATGCCACAAAACGAACTAGGCAAATTATGGGTGTCACAGTTCCTTCTAGCATACTTGGAGTCCACCCTATGCTTTTCATAAGAGTGTTGCAAATGAGCCAATGGAGTCATCCTCCAGATTCCACGCCCCCTTACAAGGGCTATAGGTGTGTTCTCTTTGGCTATACCTATTGTTCCATGGCTTATGGGTTTTTTCGTATGTGCTGTTTCAAAATCTCTGTTGTATTGAAAATTTGATCAAATTTAAATTTACCTGTATGAAGTTTACAATCGCTTTTGGACTTAATAACCATTCTGTAATCCAGGAAATTTGCTCTGATTTTATTGACACTGAAATATATTGTTTTGAGGGCAATCAGTTGTGACCCGTGTTTCATATAAATGCAAAGCAGGGATGAAGATTGGTGGGACAATGATGGAGCACTTAACACCGTTTCCATGACACACCCTCGTTTGCCAGTTGAACACCCGAGCCAGCTTGTTGTTAAGAACTCTGATTGCCAGCCTTTCCAACCGGGCATCTGGTTTTTTTCTAACCATCATTTGTTTATGACACTCGTCATTGTGTCAACACAATCATATACGCAATTATTGTACTAGTTCAATTTTGGACAAATTGTCATTGCAATCAAGCTTTTCTCATAGCAAATCTATGATTATCATCACCATCTTCATCAACCTTTTTATTATTTAATTTGTCATATCTTTTGAGATTAAATAATTTTGATCAATTTACAGTGACAATTAGACTTCTTTCTTGACTTCTACCTAAATTCGCTCTTACTGGTGTAACATAGTTTATGGACAAAACCAGGGAATTTCTTCAAAGCCTTGGCCATTTTGTGCAGTGGTTGAAACTTTGACACTAATAAATCAGTTTAAATCATTTGTGGAAGTGCCATAAAATCACCCAAAACATGAGATGGAAATAGAGTTGCAAGTAGTCCAAATTTGAAATTTCTTAAGTAAATTGTTGAAGTTTCTCTTCTTGAATACAGTTCTAATAGAGATCATTCTTTCCCTGAGTGCAGGTACTACAAGATTGTAGAAGGCGATCACATACTTTTCATTATAAACCGGGAAAGAGCAGGAGTGCAATTTGATCTGATATATGACAGCATCTTCGAACGTTGTAGAAAGCACGCGTTTAGAAAGACTCCGCCAACACTACCAAATCATCAAGCTCACCAATAGTAGAATTGTAGCTCTCACCAATACACTGCAGCTAGAATAAAGAGGAAAAATATATATATATATATATATATTTTGGTGGTTTCCCCTTGATGAAGTGAAAAAATAACCTTTTTTTTTTTTTTTTTTTTTCTTTCTTTTTTTAAAAAAAAAAAAAAAAAGAAAAAAAAAAAAAGAGATTAATATCTCCCTTCACTGGGAACCAGCTTGTCTAGTTTGTAGGTCTGTGAGAGAGATTAGAGGCAAACTTATGGATCGGAGCCATTAGGGGTTTCGAATGATAACATAGTTGTATTTCTATCAGAAATATACCTGGATGTGAATGAATTTATGAACATGTCTTTTTTTCAGTTTTTCCCAATTTAATCCAGTTTTATATTAAGCATACATGTTTCATTATCATGATATACAGAGTCTATGCTATGCCCCTTGCTTCAAAATGTAAAATTTCAAAATGTAAAATTTGTGAAGGATGAGGATTGCTAATCAAATCTATGTACCAATAATGTCACCATTGACAAGAGGCGATACTCGAAATGACTTTTATTTGAGCAATAATACCACCGTGATCACATTATTTTATGGTATTTTTTATTATATAATATAATGTGTCACTGTTACATTAATAACAAATATGAGTGATGCGATCCATTAACATAAGCGTCAGGCTTTCCTCTGGTCTACTAATTGGATCCAAAGATCTAGTTTAGGACATTATGGGTCCACTTCGTTTATTTGAATTGTTCAATTTTTAGTTTTGTTTGAGTAAATTATGCATGCAAAAAATTAGATTGATCGAATATCTCTAACCAAATGTTTTGATCACATTTATTATGTGGCCATCTTTTTTTTTTTTTATTATGTATTTTTTAAAAGACGAATGTGTTAGGGAAAATATGATTTCCTACAAATAAATCAATCAATGGGAATAAAAACTAATGCAGAAAAATTAAATCAAAAGCAACATAAAATTTTTTACGTGGTTCTCTCAATGTGAGGTACGTCTACGAGATCGAAATTCGATTCCACTATCAACCAAATAGTTTCCAAACGATTACAAATGAGACACGAATGGTCTCATAAAACCACCATTAGGTGAATTCTAAATAATCACAAATAAATAAGAGAAAAGATCTCACCAAATAGATGAACAAAAATCTTCAAAATTAGAATCTTAGAAGACCCAAAATAATCAAGAACCTTGACCAATCTTAGCCACCAAACAAGTGAATGCACACACTGCACTATGATTCAAGAAATTGAGTTACCGATGCACTGTCTCCGAGGATCATCAAAAATCATATAAGTGTTGCTTTTTCACCAAGCCAAACGGCTACCTCTGTATATCGGTCAAACAAAGCCAATATATATATATATATATATATATATTGTGAATCTAGGGTTTTTTTTATCAAACCCCTTGTTGTTACCAAACTGAATTAGGTCTCCACAAATTAGATATAATATATATAAAATATATTATACCCAAACCAAACCAAATTAGAATTCTTTTAACAAACCAATTGGGTCTCAAATTCCAATAAGGAGATGTACCCCAACAATTCTCCCCCTATCGACTTAGGTGGAGACATCAACCATACCCGCCAAAGTTCGACACTTTAAATGTTTGTCCCTTGACAAAGTCTTAGTCAACATATCCGAAATATTATCATCTGTGTGAACCTTTTCGAGTTGTAACAATTTCGAATCTAACGCATCACGAATCCAATGGTACCTCACATCAATATGTTTCGATCTCGAATGAAAAGTAAAATTTTTGCTCAAATGAATAGCACTTTAACTATCACAATAAATCACATACTTTTCTTGCTTCAAACCCAACTCTTGCAAAAATTTCTTCAACCATAACTCTTCTTTGCAAGCTTCCGTAATGACAATAAATTCAGCTTCGGTAGTTGAGAGAGTAACACATTTTTGTAATTTAGATTGCCATGCCATTGCTCCCCCTGCAAAAGTCATCAAATACCCCGAAGTAGATTTCCTAGAATCAACATTATCGGCCATGTCAAAATCTGTGAACGCATCAAGTATCGGCTTACCATCCTCAAAACACAAACACACTTTCGAAGTCCCTCGAAGATACCTCAGAATCCATTTTACCGCTGCTCAATGTTCTTTACCCGGATTAGAGAGAAAACGACTCACCACACTAACGGCGTGAGCAATATCCTGTCTTGTACAAACCATGACATACATCAAAGAACCAACTGTTGAAGCATAAGGAATTTTTTGCATCTCTTCCTTGTCTTTCTCACTTGTAGGACATTAATTCAAACTAAGCTTGAAGTGACCCGCAAGTGGACAACCAATCGGTTTTGCTTTATCTATGTTGAACCTCTCAAGAACTTTCTTAATGTAGCTTTCTTGAGACAACCAAATCAGCCTCTCTTTGCGATCACGAATAATTTTCATACCAAGTATTTGCTTGTCGGTCCCAAATCTTTCATAGCAAAAAACTTGCTCAACTTTAATTTCAAACTATTAATCATGGTAGAATATTGACCCACAATTAACATGTCATCAACATAAGCAAAAGAATAATAAATTTACCATCCGAAACTTTTTTCACAAACACACAATGGTCCGAAGTGATTTTAGAAAAACTATTATTCATCATGAAAGAGTCAAATTTTTTGTACTATTGCCGCGAAGCTTGCTTGAGACCATACAAACTTTTCTTCAATTTACAAACAAATTTCTCTTTCCCTTTTTACACAAAACCTTCCGATTGCTCCATGTAAATTTTTTCTTCAAGATCACCGTGAAGAAATGCGATCTTCACATCAAGTTGCTCAACTTCAAGGTTCATACTTGCAGCTATGCCAAGTACAACCTGAATAGAAGACATCTTCACAATTGGTGAAAAAATCTCATCAAAGTCAATGCCTTTCTTTTGCCCAAAACTTTTCACAACAAGACGTGCTTTGTACCTCAGATTCTTGCTACCATTCTTCAATTTGAAAACCCACTTATTTTTCAGAATTTTCCTCCCTTTAGGCAATTTCACTAAATCATAAGCGTGATTTTCAAGTAAGGAATTCATCTCATCTTCCATGGCCTTTTTCCAATCACCTTTCTTTGCATACTCAGTTGCTTCTTGGTAGCTCTTGGGCTCCCCTTGATCAAAAATCAACACAAACTCATTGGGAGGATACTTTTTCGAAGGTTATCGGTCCCTTGTAGATTTCTTCAACTCAAGTTGTGGTGGCGGTTCTTGAGTTGGATGCTCTTCTTCGATTTTTGGCTCAACTTCATTAGGATTAGCATCATCCTCTACATCTTCAATAGGTGGCTGCACATCTTCCTCATTTTCATCATCAACCGAAGATGAAGGAAATAGATCCATGTCAATGAGATCACTAGTTTTTGACTTCGGTTGATCACCTTTGCCAAAATCTTCAATTGTTTAGTCTTCAAGAAACACAGCATCACGACTTCGAATGACTTTCTTGTCGACTGGATTCCACAATCTATACTCGAATTCATCATGCTCATAGCTAAGAAAAATACATTGTCTTGACTAACTATCAAGCTTGGACCTGTCATCCTTTAGAATGTGAACAAAAACTCGGCAACCAAATACTTTCAAGTGCTCATAAGACACATCTTTACCAGTCTAAACTCTTTCTGGAACATCACCATTCAAAGGATAGGAATGAGACAAATTGATCACGTCAACCGCTGTTCTCATTGCCTCACCCCAAAAGGATCTTGGCAATTTAGCTTGTGAAAGTAAACACCTTGTTTTTTCCACAATAGTGCGGTTCATTCTCTCGGCAACGCCATTTTGTTGAGAAGTCTTCTTAACTGTCTTTTGGTGTCGAATACCTTGGTTGCGACAATACTCATCAAATGGCCCAATGTATTCACCACCATTGTCTGATCGGATGCACTTCAATTTCTGCCATGTTTCTCTTTCAACCATGGCTTGAAAATGCTTAAATACTTCTAGAACTTGATCTTTAGTTTTTAGTAGAAAAATCCAAACTTTCCTTGAATAATCATCAATGAAAGTAACAAAATAAAGTGCACCACTATGTGTTCTAACTTTTAAAGGACCACAAACATCTGAATGAATCAACTCCAAGACATTTTCTTTTCTAGAAACAACATTTTTATGAAAAGAAACTCTATGTTGTTTACCCGCCAAACAATGAACACAAGTTTTAAGATGTGTATCTTTCAAACCGGGTAGAAGCTCTTTCTTGAACAAAACTTGTAACCCCTTTTCACTCATATGGCCAAGCTGCTTGTGCCACAATTTGGTTGAAGTATCATCTTTAAGTGCATTGACAACACCTTTACAAATTTTTCCTTGTATCGAATAAAGTATATGAGTTTTCTTGCACTTAGCCACCACCAAAGAACCCCTTGTGAACTTCCATATTCCATCACCAAATTTGTTGTTGAAGCCTTTATCATCTAGCTTCCTGGTAGAAATCAAATTAAGGCGAATGTCAGGAACATGTCTCACATCTTTAAGCAACAACTTGCAGCCTAAATTTATTTCTAAGCAAACATCACCCATGCCAACAATCTTGGACAAACCTTCATTACCCATTCGAACAGAACCATAATCTCCTTTGGTGTAGGTAGTGAAGAAATTAACTCGAGAAGTCACATAAAAAGAAGCACCAGAATCAATCACCCAATTGCTCTCTTGGCCCACAAAATTGATACAATCATCTTCACAAACGACCATGAGATCACCATTGGTAGTAACCAGTGTTGTGTCTTCTTGCTTCTTATCCACACTTTTATCACGCCTTTTCTCCTTATTCTTGAGCTTTCGGCATTCTCTTCATGTGCTATTTCTCATGACAATAATAGCACTCAATGTCTTTCTTTAAAAGAGAACCATCTTTTGATTTGTCACGGCTTTGATCACGACCATGAGGAGTCTTACTTCTTCCCTTTATTTTGCTTTGACCTCTCACAACAAATGTTTCTAAATGAGAGGAACCCGCTGATATTCTTCTAGTTTCTTCATTCAACAAGCTACTAGTGACTTGGCCCATTGTGACAACTCCGTTGGGTGTCGAATTACTAACTGTCACAACCAAAGTCTCCCAACTTTCGGGCAAAGAACTAAGTAGCATCAAAGCCTGCAATTCATCATCAAAAACAATTTTCATAGAAACAAGTTGGTTAACAATACTCTTTATTTCATTCAGATGTTCCGGAATAGGGTTGCCCTCTTTATATTTTAAATTAACCAACTTACGGAACAGAAAAACTTTATTTGTGGCTGATTTCCTATCATAAAGGCCTTCTAATTTTTTCTATAAATCATGTGCTGAAGTTTTAGTAGCAACATGATGAAACACACTGTCATCAATC